AATTTGGCCCAATACACTTCGAATACTTGACTTTCAAGCTGAATTCTATCCGATTGCCCCATGCTTCATCCACCGATGGCTTTTGACCTTCCCTCCTTCCTCCACCAATTGTCCGTAATCGTCAACCAATTGTCCGTTTTTCCCGGCCTCGGACTGCCTCCGGACCGATTTATGAACCTCGTGGTAAACTCCGCCTATTTCTTTGCATGTCCCACCTATCTTTTTCTTCCTCGCCAACCTCTTCCCACTTTTTACCCGATCTCTGAACTATCTCTGAGCCGATTTATAATTTTGGCGGCGAATCCTGCTTTTTTGGTGTATCCTCCGCACACCATTAGAAATTCACTTCCTTCCCTCGCATGTGCGACTTGATAGATTGCATTATAAGTGACTTGTGATAAATGATTGATGATTTCCAGGTGTTATGTTTGTTCACATGGCCAAGCAGCGTGAATATTATGAGCAACAACGTCGTTTTGCACGATGGCTATCAATTTTTGGAAGAGTACTTGATGCAAGTTCGGGAAATGCACTTCGCACTCCAATCGCGTGCGGTTAGTGAATTCGGTTATTCATGACTGTGTTATAGCACTCACTGCACTGTTTAGAATGTGGACACGTCACTTTTGAAGCTGTTCACGCTTCACAACAAGCTGGAGGATGTTTTTCATCTCGAAAACTTTCATCCGTATTATGAAGAAAGCGCGGAGTTCTTAGAAAGTACTGGCCATTATAACTACGCAGCCAAGATGTGGTTGCTGGCGGGTGAGACATCGAAGGCTTGGGACTTTTGGAGGCGTCTGTGTTGTGGAGAATTGGAAGATGCAACGTTCAATCTCGATGATGTAGTTGAACGTATTCCATCGTGAGTCACTTGCTGTTGGCCTGAGTGGTTGTTGTGCCGCTCCATGAAAGAGAGAAGTGAGAGTGATACGATGAGCCAACGGACTAGTACAAAGACTTATGGAGAGGCAACAGATTGGCCTAGCCATTTGCAGTGACTTCTATGATGCACTTTCTTTCGGTGCATTCTTCTTGAAACTTTTATCTCAATTTTGCCTTCCAAATCTGCGAACCAATTTTCTGGTTAAGATCATGAAGGTTGAAAGCGCTATGGCAGTGGTCTGGACTCTGACAGGTCTTGGGCGACTCCTTAGGAAGGTTTTTCAGCAAAATGGCTAGCAAGACTTCTCACATCGCTAGAAACTGCAGTATGTTTCATAATTGTAAGGTCACCCTAAAATTTTACATTTCTGAAACAAGCAGCTGACTGAAGTATTACCAGTTGATACCTAAGTATCACCAGTTGATACCTCACTATGAAAAACCCCTGGATCACAATTTTGGTGGGAACAGCTCTTTTTACCTTTTCTATAATTATTTTTCGGCTTTTTTGGTTTTTGGAATAATTATAAGGTCACCCTGTGAAAATGAATACTACATTGTCAGAATTAACCAATCTGCCTATGAAACTGAAGATATACTACAAGTGCACCCATTTGCTAAATTTAAGGAATGTTTAGTACTCCTCGTTCGAAGAAAAAGAAAAATTCATGTATTTCATGGTGCTCGGCACAGTTCGGGTGTCTTTCTAAAGCAAGTGCCAGAGCTTCTAGTGAGTTCAATTTGAGGACCGACATAAGAAAATGTTACTTTACTAGTTTTGAGAACTTCATGAAATTTGGTTTCATTAGGAAGAAGACATTGTACCCTTTCACATAGTGCACAGAAAACGAGATGAAAATGGAGCGATACGGAAAAAAAGTGGATATGACTGCGCGCGCACGCGGTCCTCATAATTTTGGACCACCCTGTACCATTGATGGTCGCAGACCTGTTGACCTTTCCTGGTTACTTGACTCAATGAATATACAGGGGGGGGGGGGCAAAAAAAAAGACATTTTGCCTCCACTTCCAGATGGATTTAAGCACATTTTACTCAACTCAGACCGAACGGTTCCAACTTATTATTAAAGAGTGCATTCCATTCTATAAGAAAATCTTCATAGTGGCCACGTACGTGGACGGCATCAGAAGAATTAGCCCTGGAAACATGGTGCACTGGTCGATCTCAATGGGGTCTTCGAAGGATCGTGTACCATAACGACCCTTACTGGAAAGCTAGTTCCGAGGGGATTTGCACAGTGGTAGCTAATGCCTCTAGAAAACTATCCAACATTAAATCGATTCACGAAATTGCGTAAGAGCTTCAGGCTGAAGCTCTTACGGTAGACCTCCTTGAGCCTGACGACGGTGACAGATGACGTCATATTCTGAAGACGGTGAGGGCAGTGAAGGAGGGCCTGCGTACACTTATAGAGGACACTTAGGGAATACTCTGCTGAGGAACTCCCGTCAACGACAGCAATCTCTGCGAAGAAAAAAGAGCCGAAGTCCGACATAGGCAAAATGTCTTTTTTTTTGGCCCCCCCCCCCTGTATATTCAGGAATCCTGACGCGATTAGAATGGAGTTTGCAAAAATTGCACGCTAAAAAGAACAGAAACAGCTGCAGCACTTCAGCTCTCTGCAAACATTTCTGAACGTGCTCTTGGGAATCTATGAGAAAAATCTGGTCTACATGTAATTTTGGTGGCCTTCCTGCTCATTTCGCGATGCGATTTCCGTGCCTTCTGCGCCGCTGCGAGGAGTGTGTATGGCTTTTCTTCAATTTCTGGGAGCAGGAGTAATGATTATCGTTTTAGCATAACGGATAAGAAACTATTGCAAGATGTATTAACGTGGATATTCGTTGTCTCCTGAACGTTGCATGGAAGGTATTCATTCACTCTGGTCTTCTAATTACTATATATTTTTTAATTCCTCCTTATCTGACCCACCCTAAATTAATCACGGGCAGGGTCAGCCGTTAGTTAGCACTACCCGCACGGGGAGTAGTACGATTATGGGAGGGGTCGTACATGGGGTTGAGCGCACGTCCCTGTGGAAGTTGAACGGATCGTGCAGATGCAGTTTTATAATTTTGGGGAGGGCTTCTTGAAAACAGCATAAAATGGAGAAAAAGGCTCAGTCACTTCGGTAGTATATCTACCCCTGTCTTTACACGACAACCTTGAGGATAAGTGTGCAGGCCTGCCTCGGGAAGCCGCGGCTCGGTCGGTGAGGGTGTATCACGACCACCCCCAGGGGTTGTAGAATGTTTGTAAAACTGTAACATGTAGCACTAAATAAGTGCGCACGCAACCGGGCAGCTTACTCCGCCCGCGAGTAGTACGTACACCCCTAGGGTGTTGGTGCCTATCAGTTCGTTAAAACTGCCCACCCCCGTCAATAATTTTGGTTAAATCAACCAATCCCTTAACCACCACCACATCGCCTACTTAATCGATTATTACATTTTTTGCTATCATTTCGGTATCATAGGGTTTCAGATAATCGTGAGTAGTACAGTATTGGATTGTGCTACTGTCAGGAAGATGCTTGATGGTGATGCTAAACTTCTACGCATTTATCTCGAAAGTGTTCCATTTTCTGAGGAAATAGCGAAGGAGCTATGCGATGTTTACATCAAAGACATACATTCAGGAGGTTGTTGCTTCTGTTGCTTCTTTTGTCTTTTCTTATATGACTTTTTGCATCTTTCCAAAACAAAGTTGTGGTTTTCGGTTTTTTATTCAACTTTTTTCTAGATCTCAACTGTCGCCACCGATTTCGACGGTTGCTTTTGAATATGAGTTTTTCTGATCGAACTGCCGTATACGACAGAATTCCTTCAGGATGTGGCGTAGAACGATTGCTATGTGACAACAGTGTGAGTTTGCTGTTGTATTCTATCTGCTTTATGGCCTGGGTGCGATCTAATTGATGTGTTATTTTCGAAAATCAGAAAAGGAGTGAGGGGAGGAATGTTGTCTTGAAAAAAAAGCAAAAAGCGCCATGGTAAACACTAAAGTTTTTCTTGTGAGCCGTCCATGGTACTACAGAGGGACACCGCGCTGCGAGAAGATGGCGTACGCGAGAGGGAGCAGATACCACGTATGCTGCGATTGGCAGGAATGGCAGCGGTCAAGCGATAACATTTGCTCACCTGTCCCTCACTCAAGTCGCTACAGTACTACCAGACTGCCTTACTCGACGAGGGAATCTCTGTAAGGATCTAATCCGGACCCTTGTTGCAAAGCAGGTAGAACAACGGTCGAGGAAGTATTTGACAGGGGTTTCGCTTCAAAGTAAGGTGAGGGGTCATAAGCGCAAGGAACTATAACCGACACCGACATCAGAAGTGATCAGGACGACACAGGGAGGAAGCACGCCTTGAAAAGAAATTCAGCGTTAATGTAAAAGTCAACGTGCACTTGATTAATGTACAGTTTTTATAAAACTTTGTAGGAGCAGTAATCCAGTAGACACTTCAAAACGGGGAATTCCCAGCCTGACATCATCATATGCTGTAGCCGCAAATACAGCCATCGAAACAGGGTTGGAAAGGAAACAACCCAAAAAGCAGTGATCAAAATATAGTATGGCCTTGGATGTTTTTCTATTTAATTAATCTGGACGAGAAACATCTCTCGGTTTGCACAAGCAACTGTCTTATAGACAAAGCACCTTTCAATGACTCCGAGTGGGTCACTGCATGGCGCATACCAGAACGGAATGGATCTGCGCCAAGTGCATCATTTTCAATTTACTCCATCGAACTGACGTATCCTAGAAGCATTTTGAGGGTTTTCAAAGAAGTTCCTCACATCGGCGAAGGAGGAATTGGGTTTCCGATTGGCTCGGAATCAGAGTCAACCCTGCGTTGCGCAGTTCTCAACGGCC